CCCGGGGCTGTGCGTGTGTGGACACGGGTGTGCGTGTAGCCGTCGGGTACGTGCATGCGTGCACCATGGGTATATGCGTGTCTGCGTGCGTGCACCGGGGGGTGCGTGTGTTCCTGCGTGCGTGCGCCGGGTGTGCGTGCCCGCGCGTGTGAGGCACCCGGGGTGCGCGTGTGCACACGCGCGTGCATGCGTGCGTGTGCGTCTGTGCACTGGGGTGTGCGTGGCCGCGTTGCGTGTGTGCCTGTGTGTGCGTGCGTGTGGTTGTGTGTGCGTGTGTGCGCTGGGCTGTATATCTTCGTGTATGCGCGTGCGTGCGTTGCAGTGTCCGTGTTCGTGCACTTGTGTGCAGCAGGGCGTGCGTGTGGGCGTGCACGTGTGCCCTTGGAGGTCCATGTGCTTGTGAGCAGCAGGGCGTGCATGTGCTTCTGCGTGCGTGCACCAGGGTCTCCCTGCGCGCACTGGGGTGCACGCGTGCTCGTGCATGCTGCGGTATGCACGGGCATGCGTGCGCTGCAGCGTGTGCCTTTGTCCTCGTGTGTATGCACGCTGGTGTGCACACGTGCAAATATATCTGCATGCTGGGATGGGCACATACGCAGTTACCTGTACTGGGATGTGCCGGTGTGCCTCAGGAGGTGTGCGTACACCCGCATGTGTGTATTGTGGGCACTTAACGTACGTGCACGTGTGTGCACAGGGGCATGCACACGAGCATGTCTGTGGGTGTGCACTGGGGTGTAGGGCCGTGCGTGGACTGGCAAGTGCATGTTGGCGTATGGGCACAAGCCTGTGAGCACGGGGTGTGTGTGCACAAGCACACACACGTGTGCACGGGGGCACATCCATGTGGGTGAAGGTCCCTCCCATGGAGCAGCCTGCTCTGCACCAGCATGTCCGTACTGGTGCTGAGTTCCCCGGTCCCCTTGCAGCCAGTTACGGGGCTGGGCCCAGGGCCCGGTGCCCTCGCGGGACGCTCACACCTCCGTTCCTCCCCGCGGGCAGCGTGCAAGGGCCTTACCGAGCCTCGGGGAGCCCCCCCGGCCCCGCGATGCTGCTCAGGGGGCTCTCAGCAGTGAGAGGTATCGGCCAGCCCCCCCCACCTCCGCTGGCAGAGGAGACTTTTTTGGGTGCCCAGGGGCGAGTGCCGAGTCTGCTGCTGCCCCAGACCCACCGGCCTGTCGGAGCGAGAGCAGCCCCGATGGTGGAAAAAACCCGCACGAAGCTGTGGGCACGGCAGGGCCTTCTGCACAAAAGCATCCAGCTGCAGAGCTCGCTTTAAGGAAAAGAAGAAAGACCCCAGTCCTATTTCTGCTGCGATAAAACCTGAAAAGATTCAAAACCTCTTTCAGGACACCCACTCAGTAAAAAGAGCTCCAGGCGAGCTCCTGGGGGGTGGCTGCAGGGAGAAGACAGAAGTGCCCTGGGATGGAACCTGGGCTCCAAGGCAGACCCTCACCACAGGAGCCCCAGCTTTGCTGGCCGACCCCTGCCTTCCCCCCCCTAAAAACTGCTGTGGGGCAAGTATTTTAGCAGGGGAAATAGGAAACAGTGCCTGGGTGGAGATAGCAGCTCCGGAGCTGTGACCTCCTGTGAGCTTCTTGGGCAGATTCTGCAGATAACAGCGGAGGGAACCGCAGCAAAAGGGTTTTAAGGGGAAAACTGCCCAGAAGGTTTTAAGGGGGAAGAGGTTTAGATAAGAGGGGCTTCGTTGGGCTGCAGGAGGGCTCTGTGCAGCCTGCTGAGCTCCAGGCAGGCTTCCCCGTGTAACAGGAGCAATTTGGTCCGTGGCCACGTCTCTACAGCAGCAGGAAAAGGCTCACCATGTGCAAGAGTGGGATCTCGGTGCAGGTAACAAGCGGGCAGCCTGTTTCGGAGGCAGCCTGGGTGCCAGGGCTGGGAGCGAGCACAGGGACAGCTCTGCCTCAGCTCTCTTCCCTCATGGGTGCTTTGACCAACGCGTAAGCGAGGCTCGAGCCAGAAAACGCACGGCCTGCCATTAAAAAGGACAAAAACCTCATCATCCCTCCTCTGCTGGAAGAAATTTGTTCTTCCCTGTGTTCTTCCCCTGTTCAAGATCTGCGCCTTGCAAGGCGTAAGAAACAAATCACAGTTTAGTGGTGTTTAGAGGCTGTTTATCGAGAACAAGTCAGAGGCATTCCCACAGCCTGTCGTTTCCCAGCTTGCCAGGTAGCAAGAGCAGTTTGGGAAGCAGTTGCACAGCCCCGGGGGGTACAAGAGCCGTGCCCCCCTACACCGGCTTCTTAGCCAGGGTATGCGCCCCGGTACACGTCCCTGGGGAAGGAGGAGCAGGGTGGCTCAAGCAGACGTGCTTTCTGATGGAGAGGAGGGAAATGCTCCAAGGAAAGATGGAGGTGCTCCCCAAATCCCGCGCTCCTCCCCAGACCGGCGGGAGCAAGAAGCCGGGCGCACCCCTAGTTCATGGTGGAGGGGGATAAAACATGTCAATCCACCCAGCAGCCCCCCAGATAATCCCCTGCCCCCGCATTAGACCTGCCACTCACCTCACACTCAAGTTCCTACCAGCTCATGACCAAAACCATTTATTACAGAAGTTACTTAAACTCAGTTATTGCCCAGCTTCCTTAGAAAAGCCCCAGGCAGCAATAGGCACATCTTGGCCCCAACACGAGCTCCTCTACCTGCACAGCCTTCTGCTTTTTTCACCCCTGGCTTCAACCTTGTGGCTTAAACCAGCCCAGAGCCAAACAAAGCCCAAAGAGCAGAAAAAAGACACTTCCCTCCTGCTTATGGAGCCAAGGCTTCCCCAGCAGCAAGCAGACCCAACTGGTCTCAAGCCCAGGCTGGCTCCCTGGGGATTTGTAGCCCTGTGGCTCTGCCTCGATTGCTCTCCTGCTGCTGGGGGGGG